CGCGCCGCGGTCGGACCCAGCCTGCCGCATTTCCATAGTCGTTTTTTTTTTTTTTTTTTTTTTATTATTTTTATTTTTTTTTTTTCTGTAACACCAACATCTTGTCCGAAAAAAATAAAAATAAGTTTACAACGGTATACGTGCGACGGACTCGAGAGGGGAACGACGATGCGGCGGCGGCGGCGGCGGCTATTCCCCCGGGTCATTTAGAATACGATACTTACTATATCGCTGTATGCGTTTTATAGGGTGTGAATTATATTTCTCTCTATATCGCGGTTTTTTTTTTACAATATTTTTTAATGAAATTTTTACCAACCCCTCCCCCCTGGCCCTTTTAATATCTGCTGTTGTTGCGTGCAGAGTATTGAGTTCACAACAACAAGTATACACGCCGTACGATTATTATACTTGTTATACATATACACATATGTACATATATTATTTCGGAACACAATATACATTTTCATATAGATTTCTAAAATATAACAACAGGAAAAAAAAAAAAACAGCGAAAAATCTTACGCAATACGGCACGCAGCGGCGGCAGCGTTGTTCTCCCGCAAAAATTCGGTCAGCTGCACACACACACAAACACACACACACACACACACACACACATACACACGTGACCCTTTTTGTCGTCGTTTTTGGCGTCATAGTCGTCGGTGTGTTGCCGCCGGAAAACGGCCGTTACTCGCCCCTCGTTCCGCGTCCTACACATCACCGCATCGCCCGGAGTCCGGCGACGCCGTTTGCGCGCAATCTATTCTCAAGTCAATCAAACATTTTTGTTTTGCGCCGCGCCGAGTTTAAGGAATAATAATAACAATAAATGTGCGCGTGTGTACGCTGAAAGAGTATTATAGGTAGGTATACGAAAAAAAAAAAAACACTACAACAACGTCCAGCTTTATTACGAAAAAATATAATAATATAAATTAAAAAAGAAAAAAAAAATCTAAAAATACCGCCGCGTCTTTTGTTCTATTATTTTTCTCGAATCAATTGAAATATTCAGCTCGACGGTTGCGCAGTATGAGTTTTTTTTCTTCTTTAATGAACACCACACATACACACATTCACCGGACCCGAGCTGCAGACGGGGCATTGTTTTCTGCGTGCTGTGTGTGCTGTGTATAATATCATACATAATATACTTGTGCGCTCTCGCGCGATTGACCAATAGAAATAACGTCGTTGTCGGTATATTATAATGTTCTAATCGAATTTCTTTTGTTTTTTTTTTTTTTTTTGTTCGCAGAGCCCAGCAGTTTCGTGTGTTGTACGTGCAAGGCAAGGTTCAACTCGTCTTGGAAGTTATTGCAGCACGCGCAGACCGCGCATTCCATGAAAATCTACACGGACGGCACACCGTCACCGCTGTCACAGTCCAAAAACAACTCGTCGTGCTCTTCGCTGGGCTCGTCCGGATGTTCCTCGGGCAACGCCTCGTTGCCGGGCATGCCGTCGGCCCTGCCCCTGGCCCTCAACAACCAGATGCCGTCCAGGTTGAACTTGCATCCGCCGCCGCCACTGCCGCCCACCAGCACCGGGCCCCCGATGGTCGACCCTTCCGCCATGTCCATGCCGCTGCACAACCCTTTTGGAGTTGGAGGCTTGCTTAGGATGCCGATGGGCGAGCCTCCCCAGCGTCCGTCCCTGTTCCCTGGGACATCACCCATCGGCAACCCACCGCTGTTCGGCCGGTCGTCTAGTCACCAAGACCACCATTTTCGCATGGAACAACTGATGTCCGAACATTTTCGGCTCAACCAGCAGCAGCACGGGTTGGGGTTTGCCGTGGCCGTGGCCGCGGCCAACGCCATGCCAACGTCTCCGTTTCCCGGGCTAGCGGCCGCCGCCGCGGCCAACGACCGGAACAATCCTAGACATCCGGCGCCAACGTTACCGGCCTTAAATCTTGATCCGCAGATGGATTTTTACTCGCAGCGATTGCGGCAACTCGCAGGTACCACTAGTCCTGGGGCTGCTACTGCACACAGTTCGTCGCCTTCGCCGCGAAAAATGACACCACCATTTAGCAGCCCCAACAACCCCGTCATGGCAACGGCAGCAATAACAACGCAGCCGAACACCGTCACCGCGGCAGTAACCGCCGGTTTGAACAACAACAACAATAACAACAGCAACGTGAGCAACAACAATTCGGTGGAATCGCCGACGGAACAAGACAGGATCGGCGGCGACACGTCCAGAAACACGTTGGACTTGTCGTCGAACACGTCCAAAGAGAAATCCAACAACGACATCGGCCAAAACCAACAACAGCAGGCCGGCGCCGAAGAGGAGAAGACGCGGGAATGCGAATACTGCGGGAAAAAGTTCCGGTTCCTGAGCAATTTGATCGTGCACCGACGCACGCATACGGGCGAAAAGCCGTACAAGTGCTCGGTGTGCGACCACGCGTGCACGCAGAGTTCAAAGCTGAAACGGCACATGAAAACGCACCGCCGGTCGAACCGGGGAAACGGGCTGGCCGGTGGCGAGTGTGGGACTGCCAATGGGGTGGATACGAGCTCGACACCGGATTTAACATCCAATGAGGACGACGAAGACGATTCCGAGATTGACGAAGACGACGCGGAAATGGAAGAGGAGGAAGACGACGACGACGACGAAGACGACGACGGCGACGGCGACGAGGACGACGAGGAGGAAGACATGGAACTGGAAGACGAGGACAACGACGAGAACGAGGGCGGCGACGTGCCGGAGGATTTGACTACCAAGTCGACGTCCTCGGCCGAACACGACAAGAAACCGGGCAATTCGAATCACACGTCGCCGGAGAACACGCCCGGCGACAGGGTGCCGTTGCCGCCGAGCTCCCTGGTCGGCGAACTCATGAGCAAGTTCGGCCTGAGCAACATCCAACAGTATAGCGAAGCGTACAAACAGGCCCTCAAAGAGTCCACGTCAATTCTGCCCCCGCCGTTTCGGATCCGCCGGAAGGACAATTTCCGCCTGTCGTCGATCATCCCGGACAACAATAACGGTTCGGCCAAATCGGCGAACCCGCTGCGCAATCTCGAGAACGGCCTCGGCGACAAGACCGTGGCGGACCTTCGGTTTCGCGAGGAGCTCACCAAGAACCTGATCGCGGCGGGCCAGAACCCGTTGGACCTGGTGGGCGCGCACCACGGTATATTCGGCCCCGGTTCGGCCTTCGAAAACCCGTTCGACCAGTCTGCCAAGCGGCTGAAGCTCGACTCGGAGAACCCGCATCACCCGCTGCTCAACCGGGACCGGTTTTACGCGGCCGGCATGTGGTTGCCCGCGATAGCCGCGCACCAGAGGGGCGAATCGTTCCTAAGCGGGTTGCCGACGCCGGACCGTTGCAAGCCCCCGGGCGGCCCAGGCGACCCGGGCATCGGAGCCGGCGGCAGGTCCAAGCCGGGCCCCAGCTCGCTGTCGGTGGCCCTCAATCTGGGCCTGCAAGGGCACTCGAAAAAAGAATCGCGGCGCAACGACACGTGCGAATATTGCGGCAAGGTGTTCAAGAACTGCAGCAACCTGACGGTGCACCGGAGGTCGCACACCGGCGAGAAGCCGTACAAATGCGAGCTGTGCTCGTACGCGTGCGCGCAGAGTTCGAAGCTGACGCGGCACATGAAGACGCACGGCCGGCTGGGCAAGGACGTGTACCGGTGCCGGTTCTGCGAGATGCCGTTCTCGGTGCCGTCCACGCTGGAGAAGCACATGCGCAAGTGCGTGGTGAACCAGAACATCAAGCTGGAGGGCAGCCAGTACATCAAAATGGACGACGGGTCCAAGCTGGAGTCCGGCATGAAGCTGGACGGCGGCTACATGATGCCGTCGATGGTCGACGACGAGTCGTACAGCAGTTCCGCGGTGTCCAAGGACAACACATGACTCTTCCCGTGGAGGGGTTTCGGCACCCTCCCCGTACAGCAGAGTACGTACTGAGACCGTGTATGCACGCGAACGCCCACGATTCATGCGCGCGACGTACCCGACCCACCTAAATTCGAGAAAAAAAAAAATGTAAACCCCGCGTACAACGAGTAATGTAATAATAATAATAATAATAGTGATGCGCGCGCGCGCGTGATAAAAAAAAAAAAAAAAAAAAAAAA